ATCAACAGCGTTGCACAACTTTAAATACTACAATAAACAACCCTTGGACTGCATACTATACGTTGATGATACTTACATAATATACTAACACAGATAACATGATGCACCGTAACAGAATTCCGAAGCAAACCGTTGGCAAGCAGTAGCTAACTATGCTCGGAATCTAACAAACTTACTGGTAGGTAATATTAACTTGGCCCATTATCCATGTGCTATTGCGAAATTACATCTTATGAACGATATTCACCCAATGTCATAACCCAATTACATGTAGAGATGTTTTTTCATTCCAGTTATACATCTTTTCACTCATTTGTAATAGATAATGTTGGCTCTAATAATCCCCGAGTATGCAATGTCCCTCCTAAAAATTGCCTCTAAGGTTTTTATTTTCTTTGTCGCCCGCTGATGGCTGTAATTTACTTACGCTAAACAATGCACCAGGAAAAAAACCAACGTCCTGGTTGCTGCTGCTGTAGGTAAATTTCATTCGTTGTTGTTGTTTTTTTCTCATTCTTTGATGAACTCCCCCAAAAAATCCAATCAATTTTTTCAGATGACATTGTACTAGCAAATCAATGAAAAACCGTTATTCCAATGGTGGCATAATGAAATATTAATACAGATATTCCTATACTAGTCTCTAATTGTTGATGGTTAAAGACAAAACGTTTACAAATATTCTACTTGCTATGTTTATCATTTAGGAAAATTTTCAACTACACCTGTCTTGAACCCCCGAAATAATCTTGAACCCCCTAAATGTTTATTCTAAAACAACACGTCCGTTACCAGGTGTGGCGAATGGTACAAAGAAAATTTGGGGTGTCAAAAACTTGTGTTCTGATCTTGAAATCTTGGAAGATTTTTCAATAAGTCGCGAGATACTTTTTTCTGAGTTTCATTACTACGAGTCTAAAATCATTTAAGAGTCTCAGTTTCACATTTCCAAAGAAGGATCTAGAAATTTTAACCAATCCTCATCTATCAGTTACCTGTTTAACAAATCTATGGTTATTTTCAATTCGGGGTCTCCAGATAAATGATAGTTCTCTTTCAACTTGCCAACGCTAGATAGTTTTGGGTGCTATATACTGTAGAAATGTGTCAACACATTTACGGTAAAGGTAATTAGAAAATAGACTAAAACAAATACGCGCGCGGAGTGGTTTACAATCGATCGTGTTTCCATTAAACAATTAGATTATGGGCTTGAGATTTCTATCGGGTGATAGTTGAAGAGGGCGTAGCCCGAGTCAGCTATCACGCATATAAATCGAGAGCGAATAATCTAATTGTTTTAGTGTAAATCTACTTGTCGTTCAAAACTTTATCGAAATCCTCTTCACAGACACTTCGAAAACGCCGAGAAGCGGCCGTTGTTTTGTTAGCAAGGGCACACTGCTACGCTACTCACTATCTATTACAGAATAGATAGTGGTTGGCGTAGCCAATCAGAGAGCGGCATTCGTGATAGAACGCTAGCAGATTCATACTAAAACTCGGTAGAAGCACAGAATCATCACGAAAATTTTTTTCCGAATTGAAATAACGGCAGACGAACTAGGATGGGTTTGGGACGTTTAATAATTTCAAGGGGTTTGATCGTTCTTGGCAACTGTAAACAATGATTAGATGTACTTAATCCTTCGGCTCAATCACATGGGGGTCAAGCCACTTTTCGATCTCCCTCACTCTCTTTACTTCAGCTTTCGTTAACTGAAACAATTCGATAGCCATTTTGGTGAGGCCTTGGAATGCTCTGCGCCTCATCTTACGTAGTTTAGCAATACTCTCACCTGGAAAAGCAAAAGTAAATAGATCATTATGGATTCATGAGGTGAAATAGAGGATATAGAGAGCCCATTAACCTCTTACCTTTAATTTTATCGATCAAGTTTTCTTCTCTTTGGAATGGTTCATACTCCACTCGAATGCCTCCAGGTTGCTTGGAAAGATCAATCAGTTTGGAAGGCTTTAATTTCGTACCTGGCATGTTCTCCTTAATGCTCGGGAAGTACGCGTACTTGTTTTTGTGGCTTTTCTTTTGCCAGTCGTCCCAGATCTTGTCGACGAAACCGTGATGAAGGAAAAATTCTGGAGCCGATGCAGATTCTAACGTGCACATTGTTCCATTAATGTTACAATGCACGCCATTATGGAGTACAAGTCTAAGTGTTTCTTCGAAGTCATGGAAGCTGTCGTTTTTTAAGACCTCCTCCACATCCACCTCTTCAGGAGGTTCCCCGTAGAAATCCCTTACTAAGCAGTGTGGACCAGGTCCCGCAGAAGGTGGTCTCACTCGGCTCCATACGGCCTGTCTGAAAGGACCTGTCTGTACGCAGTGGTCCTTTCCCACCCCATTCCCTCCATAACCGAGAACGTGCCAAACGTCTTCCGGATTGGTCGTGCTGAATGGCTCTCGTGTGTCTAGGCTCCAGTCCCACCAGGCCACGGTAAACGTGCAATCGACTTTCCGTATCAGGTTTTCGTAACGTAGTACAAAGTATCGATGCCAGGGAAGAAAGTGTTGCTTCTGGTGGATTAGAGTGCGGAACAGTGTGTAGTGCTCATTTATGAAGTCTTCGTATTCTGGCCTGGATTTTGGATCCGTGGTATATTTTATTATAGCTTTTATGTGACGCGTTCGCTCGATAGGGCTCAATGTTGTGAATTCCTTCCTTATTCGAACGCACTGCACCAAACGGCCACCAATACACTTGCATCTTTGCCCACACTGGTCAAATTGGGTGCTTCCTTCTTGGCAAACTAGCATCAAAACAGCATTTTTTCAGTAAGTGGAAAACACTTTTTTTTTTNCAGTTCAATTACCATTATAAATTGATAATAAAACCAGGTTTTCAATTTAAAAACGAAAGGCGACAATATGGAGAAGAGAAAGAAATGAAAGGGGGGAAGGGAGGAAGGGGGAAAGAAATAAAAGGGAGAAAGACAAGACAAGACAAGACAAGGCAAGACAAGAGGAAGAGAAGAAAAGAGAAGAGGAAGAGAAGAGAAGAGAAGAGAAGAGAGGAGAATTAAGAGAAGAGAAGAGAGGACAAGGCAAGAGAGGACTGAGAGAAGATAATTATAATCTTATTGCTATCTGGTTTAACCATTTACGCCATTAATTTTATATCGCTCGTGATCATGGGTGCTACAAAAGTTTGTGAATGTGACATAACTTTAATTACTGTAAAAAGTACTTTTCTGGAGAATTGGATGTTGATTGTAGCCTCTAAATTAGGATATCTCAATAATCCATCGGTAGTTATGCCCTTTGCAAAATTTGTATAATTGTCATTAAATAATTCGGCAAGTTCGCTTTAAATATCTTTCTTTCGTTATAAAAGGGCTCTTTTTAATTTTAATTTAGTTTTTTGCATTATCAGTTTCTGTTTTTGTAGATCACCCACGAAGGCATCAAATTACCTTGAGTCTTTACGCGCTTGGAAGACACTGCTTCTATAAATGTTTCTCTAAAATCAGGGCACATTTTTTTTTATTTTCAACTTTAACAGGAGACAAATAGTTCATTGTTGTTATTGTTCGTACATGATGGTATTTGTACTTTGTTATTTTCTTTTCTTTGGTATTTTTTATCAAAACTCTCTCTATCCGTTGGAATGAAGCTTTACAAAAATTTGTAGATAAAGGATGGGGCGGTAGAGGCTAGCGACGTGGTCGTTTCTGTCTTAAGGCCTAATCCGGCTGTTCACAAGTAATGATAAAACGCTTCTGAGAAAGAAATAATAATTTCCATGTTATTCTAGGCGTATGGTATTGGCCTACGCTATCATGAGGAACTTAAACCCCAAGCGGATATATTCAGATACAAAATAGAAACTTACCGGGCTGAAACTTTCTTGCCCGCTTTGTTCTTTGCTGAAACTCTCCTGCGGCAGTTGCACCTTCTTGACGATTCGAGTTTTGCTTGAGAATGGAAGGATAGCTTTGAGTTCTTTCCTTTAATTTTTTAGTCCTTATTAGACAACTGAAACTTATAGCTGACAAGTGTTAAATTAAGAACTAACGTTCAAGTCATCTGTGGGCATGTTTCCTGGCAACGGAGAAGCCTCGAGACAGCTTATACCTTGTGACAGGTTTATAGTAGAGGGAGGGTTTCTCTGTTCAATAGCTACTACGTGAAAACGAATGAGGAGATAACAACTATAAAATCACCAGTTATCAATCTATGTTATCAAATTTCAAGCTAACTGGAAACTATTGCCACGTTTATTAACCTAGATTTAGGCGAAAGTAAAGGAAAGGGATTTGCTTTCAAGGGCAAACGTTTCAAGACATATATGAGGCAAACAGGTGTAACAAAGTTACAAAGAAGACATCATGTCACCTGGTTAAATAATTTGGAGAGACCAGCACATGCCAACAAACCTAATATCTGTAATTTTCGGAAACTACTTTGAGTTATTATATTTGTTTTGATGAAAAGTAATTTACGGAGACCTTCTTATATTGATACCACAAAGACAAGTGTCATTAAATTACAATTATTGAACTCGACGGAATTTTTTGGTGTCGATAGGGTAGGCCTTCGAAACAGAGAACGCTTCATAACACTTACCCGGAGAGGATAGGAAAACGAAGAGTACTCTTAAGATCTGCCATTTCAAACAAAATATGTACCTCCAAAGCGGGCAAGATCAGCTAGATTTTTCAGCTGATACCATGGAAATCAATCTATCAGTTCACGATGCCTTAGATGAAATTCCAGTTTCAAAAAGACAAAATGTCAAGGTATGAAATGTTTTGATGAATGAGTAAAAATAAATA